GGACTTGCATGCTATTAAGATTCATGTACAGTATTACATGTATACCACTTGAGGTAAAAAAGGTTTCGCATGCCAGTAATAATTTCCCCATTTTCAAAATAAATATCAAATGACAGAACTTTGCTTCCATTTATCAATAGTCTTTCAAATATTGTCAGTAATCGGTACCTGCAATTTTTTAAAGAGCATTAGAAACTGACATTGATCTTGAAATGAATACCTGCATCCGAAGTTCAAGTTACTACAGTACTGTACTTGATGTGTGTATAATTGAAGTGCTTTATTGAGTCATGGGTAATATGACCAATTGCAATAAAAACTACTTCTCTCTGATTGTCTGAAGTGCTAATACATCATTAAATGCACTTAAAGAGAAGGTTGAGTTCTGGGAAGAGGTGAAAAATTATTTGTGAGTGTTACTCATTTTCATTATGCAAACTGTGTGGAAGAACATCAGATAAGACATGTTCCCTGAAAAGCATGGCTCTTCAAATGCCTTCATGTTCTAAATATGCATGTAACATCGTAACAATCGGGGGTCGGCGTTTTACGCCATGTGTTCGTGTAGTCTCATATACATCTTTCTGTGTACAGTGTTTGTAACTTTACCAAGACTTGGCCAAATTTCTGATCATTTTGATGATTCCAGAACTTTGCAATACACACAAATTCTTATATGCTAGATGATCAACCTTTTCTGGTCGGTTCCACATCGTTTCTTTCACAATGCAATCGCATGACCCGAAGTCAACTTTATCTTTAATACAAATGTATGAATCAAGTTTTGATTGCGTACTGGTATCCTGGAATAGAGGATACATCTACTTGTACTTTACATGTACATTTGAATTGGTAATTGAGATTTTATGAAAAATACACTCCAAAACAAAGCAAAACAAAACAAGCAAAACAAAAACCACACCCCCAAACCTAAACAAAACAAAATTAAACATAATTTAAATAGAGCTCTGTTCACAGTTTGTATTCTTGTATTTACAGTGTACCCTACCCATTTTCAATTTTAAACAGCCACTTTCTTGTTTTGTTCATGAATACTACATGTATACCGTATGAGTACATGCACACAAAAGTTGTTGCACTGTTTTTGTACTTTTAATACCTGTACATTCCTGAATGCACATTTATAATTTAACATGTAGGAAAAAATAGAAAAAGAAAAAAATTCTGTGATCATGATCTAAATGTCATTTTCGTTTTGTTTTGTTTGTTTTCATGTATAAGCGACGTAAAATTACACTACCGGTATGTGGATTTTAATTTCTATATCAACAAAGCAAACATACACTGTATGCCTACAACTCTTTAAATCCTGTTCTATACATGTACACATACATGTATGCTTCCTTATTATTTTCTAATCTTGTAGTGGTAACCACTCCGGACATGTACATGTGCAGTATACCAATCGCCAACAGAGCAGTGACAAGTCACCCCCAAAATAGGAATTAGCAAACACCAAAGGTTTTTATGGGTAATTCTACTTGTGTAAATGGCAGTCCAAAAATCTATGATTTGTCAAAATGGCGTTTACATGTACATGTAGGATGTGGAAATGGGTCTCTACATGTCCTATCACTCTGCCTCTCTGATTGATGAGATAAAATGCAGATGTAATTTCCTAAAAAATGTAGACAATTACTTTGCTTTGGTCCGTAGGGTATAGGCCTTGCTGTGTAGGCCTACTCTAACTCTGGACATTGTGTATAGATCCAGTGAGACCCTAATAGGAACTGAAACTGAAATGGTCTCTTGTTATCGCGCTGATCTCGTCATATCCTGCGCTAGATGATTTCCTCATCATCGTAAAGGACTTTGATTGCCAAGATGGATCACTTTCCCTATTGTGACAGTGTATTTGATTTCCTCATCGTCGTAAAGGACGTTGATTGCCAAGATAGATCACTTTCCCTATTGTGTTGATTGAGAAATTCCTGTCCGTCATTTGTCAGAGGTTCAAGTGGACTTTACAACAAGTTTTATTGTTCACATGTACGTAATGTAATGTGTATACAAACATTTGACTTCCATTGGTGCTGTAGATGTAACATAGACCATACATTATGTAATAAATAATGATACATGTACATGTACGTTAGGCGGTGTCACACAGAAAAATCCCTAAAAAAATTCCTTGAAAAATCCTTACAAGGGAGAATTTTCTTGCTTCGTTAGAGGATTTTTAACAGGATAATTGATGACAGACAGCAATTAAGAGGATAACTAAAATCTGGATAACTAAAATCCGGATTTTGGGACTCTGTGTGACAACGCCTACATGTATTGTGTGGTGTGGGCTGAGAGCAAAAAGGGAGAAAGTTTATCAAAGGAGTTGATTGCCAAGATATCACACTTCTAATTGTATTACAGTAATTGGCTAATGTGTTCCTGTCTGTCAATTCTTAGGTTCAGGTTTGACAACTTATACACCCTAATATACAGAAATGAGACATCTAGAATTCATTGGTTATATTCATCATACATGTACATTTTAATGGTTTGTCCAGATTATATGTGTTTTTGTACATTTTTTATCGTTTGCTCGTCTTTGTTCTCCCTATTAAACTAACATGAATCCCACACAATAATGCGACCCCCAAATGCAAGGGTAAGAATGAAACTCATGAAAATCTCAAATTAAACGATGAGGGTGTGTTAATTTCTCAGGTGCTTGGGCGCGCGGCACAGAACCATTCCAGGCTGTGGACTACACATGTACCGGTAGTTTATTGTGTGCTAAGAGCAAGACAAGCAATATTAAAAGGAGTTGATTGCCAAGATACAGTGCATATTAAACTTGTTTTATTGTTTCGGGGAGTAAGGAATTTGTATGTACATGTACATTGCATGAGTGTCAGTTCCAAGGTTCAAGTAGATGATACATTTACATCAAAAACAGAAACTTACTGTCTAATTGTTATAAAGATATTGTACAGTGTTCATGTATGTAGTTTATTCATGTGAAGTGCTCATCTAAGTTTGGCTTTCAGTTTCAAAGTGCATGCACCTGTACATATGCAAGTAACCTTTCACTCAATTAATTATCAATCCAAAGTCTTATAATATTTTGTTTCGGTGAACTTTATGTCTTTTGTGATCCATGTGATTACAGGTAGTCTTAACAATATCTATTTATTTATTTCTTTAAATTGTTGTTGGTCTTGTGAACTTTGGTTCTACAGTACATGTGCATGTATGAAACAACATTTTCGTTAAAGTTTGAGCATCATTCTGTATTAATAAAGAATGTTTATATTACACTATAGACAGAAACTTACAGATATAGGCTACAAAACTATATGTACATGTACATTTACAGTATTGTACTGTACATGTAGGTGCAGTTACTGTCAACTGAGTAACAAATACTTGCTAGTCAAGCAAGAGAATGAAAGGAAGGAAAAACCACTGCTCATTGAATTGCTTTGATTGATTTAGATGAGGTGTGTAATTGTTCAATATCCTTGACATTACTTTTCACTACAAACAAGCATCAGTCACTTTGATAGGCTCTTTCCAGGCTCTCTTCTTTTTTAAGGTTGAATACTTTTCAGTACAAACATGTACATGTCATGTACTTGTACGATATTCAGAGGTCAAAGCCTTAACACCAGCTGATTTCCATTTTGGTGTTAAGGGCTGGTGTGAGTGTTTAATTGTTTATTAAATACTTACACCAGTCATAAACACCAATCTTGAAATCACTTGTTGTATATTAGTAATTGGTCAACTTCTGTAGGCTCTAATTTCTTGCTGTGTACAACTTAAATACATGTACATAAATACTAAGTAACGTTCTACAGGAAATTAAAGGAAATTGGATTGTTTTCGGGAACAATTTAAACCCAGACTTCTTGGGCAATTGGGGAATCCCCTTGTACAACTGTACATGTACAGTGTATGTTATTACGACATGTACCAACCAAGTAATTTCGACACAGGCCTACATGTACATGTACTGTACAATTTCAGTAGCTAAATAACTTGTTATTAATAAACCAGTTTTATAAAACAGGGCCCAGGATCAGCAGAAGTTTCAACATGTTGTTTCCCAGTAGATTATGAGTTTGCCAACAATGTATGCCATACGTCTAGACAGTTCTATATGATACAATTTTATATTCACACAGGAGCTCTTGCATGCATTTTGGGGGAGGTCATTTACCATGCATAATACAATGTACACATGTACTGTACAAGGTCGCCTACTGATGTCTTTTTGGTTCAAGCGGGCCACAGCTGCGTGTACATGTACATGTACATGTACATTATACTGCCTGTAGTCCCTGTACATGTGTGTAATTTATTTACATGATGCATACAATATCAATGTGTTCATGTCTGCACAAGTTGGATACGATGTTACCTTCATGTGCAGTGAGTCGCTACTGAGTTTATTTGCTGACCTTCGAGTCAGTGTTTAGTGTTGTGTGGAGATATGTGATGATTCAATACGCTGTACATTAAAGGGTACATGTACATGTACATTTGTACATTACAATGTACATGTACAGTACATGTAGATGTACACTGTAATGTACACTGTAATGTACATTAATTTAATACTTATGGGTACATGGCAGGAATTACGTAATGGCAGCCATGCTATAAAAGCGCGGTAATAATTGTTGAGTGCCAGGAGTGTCAAGTATGACAGATACAGTATGAGGGCTGTACAGGAACCCAGTACTATTATTATTATTATTATTATCATTATTGTGGACAGTAAATGTACCTATAAATCATCTTTCTATTGAACACAAATGAAAGATAGATTAAACTTTATATCTCATGTTTTTAAAACTTGTAATTGAATACATGATTGTTAACCAAATTTTGAATACATGTTCCATTTTGTCTTTATTTTTAATAATAGGATTATTTCTTTCTTTCTTTCTTTTAACTTTCTCGTATTTTAAATGTAATTATACAAAAGAAAGACTTTGAATCTTATTTGCTTTTTTTGTCTTGTTTTATTTCAGAATCTTGAGCCTCTCCAATCAACCCTTGATTAGTGAAAAGTAAGTACAGTGTAAAAGTTCACTAATTTTCACTTTTCTTTTGTTATTAAAAAAACCTTAAACAAAATATAATCGCTTCACAATTATGAAAATGTTTTATCAGGATTTATTGTAATAATTAAATGATCTTAAGGGTTCTTTTATCACACCCATAAAAGGAAAATTCAACAGTTTTCTTTTGGATGTTATATAAGAACTTAAACATTTTAAAATCATAATTGTTTGACAAGGTTACAGAATGCAATTCGTTTGATGGACAATAAAACATTTTAGTAACGAAATAGTACCATCGTAACCATCCGTTTGAAAATGTAGTCAGAAAAGGAGCTTGCCATTTCTGTGGGGGATAGCACTTTGTCGTGACTAATTGATTAAAAGATGACATGTTATTTGCTGATGCTCAGCGGACGGACAGTCGTAAATTTTGCGCTGATCCCCAACGAGACGCAGATGAATGACATGACAAGAAAAAGAAGAAAATTGGATTGAACCCTTTAAAAACACGGGCAGATTAAATTGCAGTCTCCCTCCCTGGTGTGGACATCCCCCATTTGACTTTCAGCTCTCTCTCTCTCTCTTTCTTATCAACGTTGAGTTGTTTTAACGTTCCACTCATGATGAAAGCTCATCTTTTTAATAGTGGGGAGAGGGGAGGGGGGGGGGGTGGGTTGTCAATTGCATTGAATTGTTCCTCATTCTCCCGTATTTTGTGTCCATCAATGCAAGTGCACTTTTCTATCATAACAAAAAAACTGAGACTAATCAATTATAAAAAGGTAATTAAAATGTGCGTAGATTACATGGATCAGATGACTCATGATTGCTTAATACTTCAAAGTCTACTCTCAAACCTCACGTGATTAATAAAAGAAAGGATTCACTCATTCAGAAATTGTATACAAATCGTATGATTGCTTTGGAAAGAATCACTGTATGCTTTCTCACGGTATTCCATTCTCAATATTTTATTCGTGATTATATGTTTTTGAAAATAATTAAAGTAATTATGCAAAATACCCTATGTATTTTTACACTTGTACAAATGTATGAAGGTCTACATGTACGTCTGTATGCATAAAGCTGTACTTCAATAAAAAAATTAAAAAAATTAAGAATACCTGTAATATTCATTTACAGGCAGTTCTTTTAGTTGGATACATGGAAATGATCTATTATCTTCAATGCATTTACATTAGATACATTTGATCTTGATTCTGGTAGTAGAACATACATGTACATGTATGTACACTGGGTTTAAATGAATTCTGAATCATTTTTTACCGCAGTATGCGGATTAGACACGTATGAACCAGCATAATGAGAATTGCATAGATGTCACCCAAAATGCTGGCAATGTTATTTCCTGAAACAGTGGGCATAATTTTGAACGTATTGTTTAAGTCTGTGGGACTTTAGTATATGTCATTACCAAAACTCAATGGCCCGTATTCTGAAGTCAGGTTTAGTTAAACCCAGGTTTAACTTTAAACCCAGGTTTAACTAAACCAGACTTCAGGTCTAAGTATCATTTCAGTTTCTGAAAGCCAGGTTTAGTTAAACCCAGGTTTAAGTCTAAAACCTAGGTTTAAAGTTAAGCCAAGGTTTAACTACCATGGAGATGTAGTCTGCTTCTACTGCACATGCTCAGTACAGCTCACCCATCTTCCAGGGTAGCTGCTAGCTAGCTGCATCCCCCCTGCAACTGCACCTGGGCAACTGCACTAGCTTGCATTGAACTAAGTCTGCAGTAGGGTCTTGATTTGACAGGAAAATGGCAGAATCAAGCAAGAAGCAGAGAAGAGCGAATTGGGAAGTGACAGAGAAACATTATCTTCTGGAACTAATTGTTGAAAGTGTAGAGGTAATAGAAAACAAGAAGAATGACTACGAGGCCAATGTGGCAAAGAACGATGAGTGGAGCCGCATCCACCTAATGTTCCAGGCTCGTTATAGGAGGGAATTAAAAGAGCTCAAGGAGCAGTGGAAGAGGATGAAGCTGGTGGCTAAGAACGAATGGAGTGTATGGAGTTCGGGGAGGAGATTGACAGGGGGAGGGCCAGCTCCCAAATCTCCTTCAGCCATAACTACCTTCATTCACAATTTAATTCCCCAGGATTTTCGACAAATAAAAAACAGTTTTGATTGTGACGCAGAGATCACTGTTAACAACGAGGAGGCAGTGACGGCATTGCGTTACCTGGCAGGAGAAAGGCAGGAATTTACCTGCAGTTCTTTTGGGTAAGTAAAATAACCAAGAGCTGAATGATTAAACTGTAGAGTCTAAGTTTACTTGGCCAGGGGCGGATCTAGGGAGAAGGGCACACGCCTCCTCCTTTTTCCTTCTGAAAAAAAAGGCCAAGAAATATTCACATCACAGGTCTACCGTCTAGACTCTAGACTAGAATGTTCAGTTCAGGTTTACATTTATGCTCTGAAAGGTAAACTAAAGCTTCACATTTTGCACAATTTTGTACATTTAAAAATACACCCCCCCCCCCTTCCCCATCTTGGCCTTGAAAAATCCTAGATCCGACCATCCCGTTGGGTAGATCTCTACTAGACCCTAGCTAGATCTAAGTTAGATCTACTAACAAGACTACAGATTTTCTAGGCCTATTAGATCGAGTAGGAGTCGGACAAAATATGATTAATTTATTTATGAGTGTATTTGTCACCAACAAATCAGCTAGGCTAGTAGATCTAGCTAGAGACAGAATACAAGTTAACATTTATTGCCACAAGTTTTGTCACTGATTTATACCCGATCACTACTAGACAGTAGACTGCACTTGTCAGTGTCACGGTATGGAACTGGGAAGTTTAACTTGGAATTTGATTTCTAGTCACTAGAGATAGATGTCTACACGATCTAAATGAGTACTAGACCTACTAGACCCTAGACCTATTGGCTAGATAAACATAGATCTAAATCAGTGACATAAAATGATTGTTTTTCATAAATATTTTTGTCTATTCTAATAATGGCCCAATGCCGAGTAAACTTTCAACAGAAATTCTTCGTTTCATTCGTGTAGTCTGCTCGTACGTGAATTTATGCGATTCAAAAAGCGCGCTAGTTACGTTCTCGTACGGGGAGCTGAGCTAGCCTACCCGAGGCCTGGGCGAAGCGGACCCTGGACGAAGATCTGAACTCGATGCATGATGAAGCCGAGCATGCCTCGTGACGGGATAATTAATTAACTATCAAAGCATAAGAAAAGAAAATGAATAAACACTTAATTTAAGAGTCTTACCTTCTCTAGAGATCTACATCTATATAATTATTGTGCTGTACACGAATAAATGTCATGATAAAGGAAGTCTGAAAGATATATCCGTTTTGGGTATGTCAGAGCTAGAGCTGTACGAAGTAGTGCTTTTGATCATTCGCGCTTATATTAGTTTGACTTTGAGGCCTCGAACTTTGATTTGTTACTACAAAATGTGGTTTTTGCAATTACAGGATTTGTTCCGATTATGAAAATGAAAATTCCATAAAATGTTAATTATACATAGATCTATCTTTATTATTATTAATGTTCGTATCTCAATAATCAGTTGAATCAAACTATAAAATAAATATTCAACAGAAATGAGTCTCAAAATTAAGCCTAACTTACTTCAAGATTGATCGATTCATGAATTAACTGACGCCCGTTGACGGTAGGCATGAAACCATGGACCTACTTTCCACGACCACCCAGGGGAATCAAATAAAAGGAGAAGGGGGTGGGGAGTGGGGGGGGGGGGGGTCTGGAATTGGACAGCATTTTCTAAATTTAAGGAACAGCTTCCAGGGTGTTGTTTGTTGTTTTTTATTTATTACGAAAGGCATTAAATACAGTTTATATACACAGATCACTTGAGATGAACTGAAGACCAACTTTATCATTGAAAAATCACATAAGTTAGAAAATTCATTTAAAATAGTGATGAAAGCAAAGATAACGTTTCAAAATTGAAACAAATGCCAGATTTTAAACCAGCTTGCAGGGCTAAAATGAATCCAAGGCCACCAAGGCCATTGCCTTGGATGCCCCTTTGAATGGCCTAAATGCCCCTCTCATTGGCCTTGGAGATTTTGTGTGCCCTTTTTAATTCTTCCTATTTGTGCTGTAATATAGGAATGTGCCCTACGGAAAAGTGGCCTTACCCTAAAAATATTGAAATTTAAGGCCTGAGCTTGGACATCCAAAGACAAAATGCTTTCTGAATGTTATTATTCATGTTCTAAGATTTTCATATAACTATAAATAGGGACAAGTTTTAAATGGGGGCTCGCTACAAGAGTCCTATCTCGCACCCCGGGGCAACGTGTCTGACACGGCCGGTTGTAGCAACTATACTCCGAAGATCAAGCGACATTAATCTTGATCTAAGGAGACACGAACGAACGAGGGACATGCAAGTTGAAATTATCAAAATAGGAGTACATGTACTTTTATGAAATTCTCTAAATACATATATTGTTTCTATTCACTATTATAGCATGGATGGCATTGAAAGCAATCGTGACATGACACTCCTCCAGCTCAATGATCCCACAGATGACCCTATCATCACGCATCCATCCACCAGCACATCTTCTTCATCTAATCCATCCACCAGCAGCCTTCAGCCCTCAAAGCATTCAACAAGCATATCTCATAGATCACAGGCATCAACCAGCTCATCTACCACTCACACACCCCTACCAACTGACAGGTAGTGATTTACATTTACTGTAATGTTTCTATTTATTTCAAACAAATCCTCATGAATATTATCTTGATCAAACAGGAAAATAATTAACTCTAGATAAGATTCAAGTAGATGGGGAAATAAATAACTCTAGATAAGATTCAAGTAAATGAAGAAATAAATAACTCTAGATAAGATTCAAGTAGAAAATTATGTATATCATAATTTATTAATAATTAATAAATTATCATATTCTGCAACACACTTTGCATTATCTTTCCAAATGTTCAAGGACCAAGAGATCACGAACCAATACACCGCCTCTTGCAGCCCAAGCATCCACCAGCAGCCTTCAGCCCTCACGTCATCTATTCCAGGCATCAACCAGCTCATCCAACACTCACACTCCCCTATCAGCTGACAGGTAGTGATTTACATTTACTGTAATGTGTCTATTTCTTTCAAACAAATCCTCATGAATATTATCTTGATCAAACAGGGAAATAAATAACTCTAGATAAGATTCAAGTACAAAATTATGTATATCATAATTTATTAATAATTAATAGTAAGATAAAAAATGATTTATTTGAATTATAAATCATATTCTGCAACACACTTTGCATTATCTTTCCAAATGTTCAAGGACCAACAGATCAAGAACCAATACACCGCCTCTTGCAGCCCAAGCATCCACCAGCAGCCTTCAGCCCTCACGTCATCTATTCCAGGCATCAACCAGCTCATCCAACACTCACACTCCCCTATCAGCTGACAGGTAGTAAATTTACATTTACTGTAATGTGTCTATTTCTTTCAAACAAATCCTCATGAATATTATCTTGATCAAACAGGGAAATAAATAACTCTAGATAAGATTCAAGTAGATGGGGAAATAAATAACTCTAGATAAGATTCAAGTAAATGGGGAAATAAATAACTCTAGATAAGATTCAAGTAGAAAATTATATATATTATAATTTATTAATAATTAATGGACAAAATGGATAAAAAATAATTTATTTGAATTATAAATCATATTCTGCAACACACTTTGCATTATCTTTTCAAATGTTCAAGGACCAAGAGACCAAGAACCAGGACACCGTCTCCTGCACCGAACCCATCCCTTTCGTTTGATGCCTCACTTCTTGAGTTTGCTCAGAAAGAGCATGATCTGAAGATTCAGCACCTTAACCGTGAGCACGAAAAGAGAATGGAGATCCTGGAGCTGGAGCAACGTTTCCATTCCAAGAAACTGGAGTTACTCGAGCTCTAAGTTGTACCTTTTGTTCATGATATATATGATTTAACTGTGCATTTTTACATGTTTATTCCTTACAGGTGTTAAAATGCATGAGAAAAATGCATAATAATTCTTTGAAATGTATTCAACAGAGGTACTGCATACTCTGCATACCGTTTATATGTCTAAATTATTCCAAGTACTCATCGGTGAAGAAAAGCAGAAAAATTCAAATAAATCAAGCTTATTTCAAAATGACCGAGCTAGTACTGGTAAGATGTAAATTGTCAACATAAATAAAAGCTCTAGGTTAAACCATCTCTAAACTGAGCCTGACTGTATATTCTACAATATGAACTATTTCAAATGTGCCATTTCCATACAATACGACTGGAATTTACAAAGTGTTTGTATTACTTGCTTGTTATAGTTTTAAATGCTTAATGTATATGGTGCCACATGTATCTGTAACATCTTTGCACTATCCAATTCAGTGAAGTACACTTGGATTATTATAAAAATAATAAATGAGTGCACATTGATACATTAACTCCTTGAACCAACTGTTTGATTTACATAAATGGTGTATGGAATGAGTGCTGTCTTTGTCCCTTCACACTACGCTAAAAAAGCTGAACATAAAGTAGTGCATAACAGCTCAAAACAGTCAATGGTAGATTATATTGTATATAATGGTAGTTGCCTATATCTGGAATTACTTGTCGGATTTTTGTCCGTTAAGAATTTCTTGACGAGTGTAAAAAAATACACCTAGAAAATACGCTGACCAAAGATCGAATCAGCTTAAATTTGACCATTACAAGAAGCAGGTTATTAACATGTACAAATACTCATGTACCCTCTACAACTCATTACCAAATTTTAAAAAAAAGAGGCTGATCAGACACCCAGTAGTCTGACAATGAAGTCTAGAAAGCAAACTGTTTTCTTAAGTTGAATGCTAGGATACTCCGACACTCCTTACGTTTCAATTTCACAGATAGGAGGCACACAACAAATTTATAAATCCTACATAGGTTCACAATAGAAACTTGGCGATCTGTTACCTCCTTGAAGAATTAAGAATCAGCGTCATTTCACATAATAGATCAATGTAGAATTAATGATTCATTAAACTTTTGCTAATTGCTAATGAATAATGAACATAATGTCAATGTTCCTAAACCACAGGAGAACCCCAGTGATCTGTTACCTCCTGATGGAGCTAACAACATAGCTTGTCAACTTAAAAAAGGCAGTAGCTAATTGAGCGTCATTCCTTCTACATTGATCTATTATGTGAAATGATGCTCAATTAACCACTGCCTTCATGTTGTTAGCTCCATCAGGAGGTAACAGATCACCGGGGTTCTCCTGTGGTTCAGGACCATTGACTTGAGGTTCATTAACAATTAGCCAAAATTTAATGAATCATTCCTTAAAAAATTGATCTATTATGTGAAATGATGCTCAATTAGCCACTGCCTTCTTAGCTGACCAGCTATGTTGTTAGCTCCATCAGGAGGTAACAGATCACCGGGGTTCTCCTGCGGTTCAGGACCATTGACTTGAGGTTCATTTCTCATGATGGAGAGATTCCAGAGGACAGCAACGGCAACAATTGTCGTCAGTGTCGTTTCCAGTTTGAGCCTGAGCTGGTTGAGACATGGGAATCTCCTCTTCATCATCCCAAATGTACGTTCAATGATGTTCCGGCCTCTAATCTGCGCACGGTTGTATCTCTGCTGACTCCTGTCACGCGGGTGAAGTAGTGGTGTCATGACATATGGCTGGCAAGCATAACTAAGGATTAAATTATTTTGGAAAAAAGGATAAAGGACAGTGATTTTTTGTTAATGTCATAGAAAAAGTTGCTAATGAGGCATCTCAAATTTATACCAAAGAAAAGACAATTTGTTAAAAGAAGAAACTATTACATCAGCATTTTTGTAATCATAATATTTTCAATTTTTTTTTTCCAGCGCAAACTCATATGAAATGCAGGTAGGTTGTAGGTCTACTTTAAAAAGAGCTCTCCAAAACTCTGTTTAAACATTACCTATTCAAAAGTGTGTTCCATTACAATTATTACACTACATGGTACACAACATTCTTCCTATTTCATTTTTGTTTATAAGACCAACTTTGAGGGGTTTATCAGCTATAGATAGGCCTATAATCACCATGGCTGAAACTGAGGTTAGATAATCATCATGATATGCAAAATTGGATGTTAGGAGTTTTCTTTTTAGCTGCCTCTTAGAAGTGATGGGCTTATTAATATGGGATAGAATTTCCTAAAATTTGTTACAGAATATGAAAACACAAAATAATGTTAAGCCCTTCTTGACCCTGGACATTTGCAACATGCTATGTGCCCATAAACCAAACATGCTGACATACCCAGGGGTGGATCCAGCCAGTGGCGAGGGAGGGGGCCCAATTCAACAGAAAATATTTAGCAGCGGCTAAGCCGACGGGCCCATTGAGGGGGGGGGGGGGGGGGGGGGGGTATTGAATGGTATTTTTTTCTTTCCAGGGGAGGGGGGGGGGGGGTTGGGAAGAGATTCTTTTTTTAACCTGTTTTTTGGGCAAGGTGAGGGGCCCAGGGCCCTCCCCCCCCCCTGGATTTGTCCCTGGACATAACAGCATGAAAATGACAATCTCTACTTCTCTTCCATTTTCTAAATATATATTTTTACTGTGCTACTCACCCGCTGTCCCCCAATAGCCATTTGGCCTCATGGCTAGCCTCTTGAAGAATCCTCTTGAGCCGCGATTCCCGAAAAATCCGTGAGTCATGGGACCCTCCCGGCCATCTTGCGACCACATCTATTATCAGCCCTTCGTGAGTGCATACTGCCTGAAATATGTGCACAAAAATACATAAGCATTTTAAAAATTAATAATGAAAATACACATTGAAAAGGAATGCGGTGTCTGTCTCATCACGTCCACAAAGCATTTTGGTTCTTCACATCAAAATTTAACAACTTGGAAACTTGGAAAAAACTACTTAAATTTCAGAACTTGTTACAATGTAACATGGGTTATTCTGATAATGATTGCATGTGAAAATTTTTAATTCATACACTTTTATAATTTCTATGAATATCCTATTGCTATCAGTATCTTGCACATCATCATTTGCGTGTAAACATAGAATTAAAACATTTCCCTGTTTGCAATAACATAAAAATAAAGTAGATATCAATATCCAAAATTTGTAGCACAAATTTCTCATGCAAATAAATTTACCCCTAATAACACCAAGCCAGACTTCAGAATACAGGCCTATGACTCTTACCTGCACATTTATAGAAAAGCGACCTTTACGATTGAGAAACCTCTGTGCATTGTCACCACCTGGGCTCCTTATATGAACATGCGTGCAATCAATGGCCCCTACTACCCCTGGAAACTGACAATAGTCAAAAAAACGTTGCTGAGTTTGCTGAATCTGGAGAGGTGTAGTTGGAAACTGGATGTACTGTGGACGTAAATGGGCGATTTGAATTGACACATCACTGATGATCCTGGAGAGAGATGCCTGTGAAAGGGTAGCCTCATCCCCATGCATCAGTTGGAAAGTGCCTGTAAAAAAACAGACAATTGAAAAGTTGAAATTCCTAAACAAATATTTACAGATCATAGATCTGTTTTTTTTTTAAGTTTTGAAAATCATTGCAGAATTGGGTTTTAAATGAACAATTTTAACAGAAATTTCGCCATCATATTTCGGGGATTCCCATAACTTCAGAGGGGCTTTACAAATTTACATCTTATAGAATCACTTCAATTAAGATTAATGCAAGTAGACTAGATCTAATAAGATAAACCTAGTTAGGTATGTTTTAATGCCGCAGTTACGGGTCAAATTTTGGATAGGCTTCTGAACTAGCGCCATGCCCATTTTGGGTTACATTATATCGTACTGGTATAAGCCTAACGGAATTTCATTCTCATAAAGCCTAGGTCAGTGACTAGGGTCTAGCTAGCGCTAGCGCTAGTCAAAGAAAAGAGTTTTCAGAATATTAGAGTCTAGTATTAGGCTACTAGGCCTACGATCTAGATCTACTAGATACTGTAAGAGTTACGATTAGACTCATTCCCTACTTTTATTTGTCACAACAGGCCTTAAATTAATCCAAGGCCACCAAGGCCTTGGAGATTTGTTGTGCCCTTTCCAATTCTTCCTATTTGTGCTGTAATATAGGAATGTGCCCTACAGAAAAGTGGCCTTGCCCTAAAAATATTGAAATTTAAGGCCTGTCACAATTACTATTTGTTTCTCTAGTCTCTTCTACCCCATACATATTCATTTCACATGCTCTGTGGGCATGAGATAGGAGAGACTTTATAGGAGAGAGGACTTGTGAGTTTGGCAGTGATTTGTAATATTGGTGTTTAATTCAGTGATTGATTGGCAAGATATTATTTTATTAGTTTACAATACTCTAGACCCTTCTACTAGGCCTACTATTAAATTGGACAGGAATACCGATTGCTGAGAACGCAGCATTCTCATAGAATCTCTTCTTCTTCTTCAGTTGAAGTATAGCCTATAGGCCAATTAATTAAAGGTAATCTCTGATCTTGCATTCACAGCTCAGCTCTGAGCTCAGCTTCAAAGTTCAAACTACGTGAACACAACGTCAAACTAAACGTATGGGGCTGGAAATAGATTTGTTTTCCTCTGCAAGAACGTGATACGTGTTGATTTACTTCGGGCCTTGGGCAACTTTTTAGTTTCAAGGATTGTCGTACTATACAAATCACACAAATTTACCAGAAATATAAATCCTTGAGATTCCGAAAATATTAAGCATTACATTTCAATCAGCAAATGAAGTATCCAAATTAATGTTCAAACTTACCGACAGCATAAAATCGCAAGGCGGTCAAAACTTGCAAATACACAGGCAATGCATCTGCACGCGATGATGTGTGTCGCTGAATTAAGTGCTGGAGTGAGTTCGTCCGTGATGAAAACCGTCGTTTGTTTTGTAAACCGGTATCGGTGCAGAAATTCGTCGTCGCCATAAATGTGAAATGGGTTTTTCCTTTCCACAAGCGGTCTCTCGGGTCTCATTATTATTTGTAATAATGCGTCGTAGTGGTGTCTTCTTCGCTGAATATCCAACAAATACGCCATTGCGAAGAAATATTTAGACCTGACTTAAGCCAGACTTAAACTAGGTGTACCCCAGGTTTAAATATGTGTACAATTTCTACAGAGTTAGACCAGGCTTAAACCCAGGTTTAAGTTAAACCTGACTTCAGAAACGCAGATTTAAGCCAAGGTTTAAATCTGAGAGTTAGGCGAGACTTTAAACCTAGGTTTAAAGTTAAACCTGACTTCAGAATACGGGCCAATAGATCCGTGCTCTAGCAATGACCTTAATTTCACCATTTTCTTAGATTACGTTGCATGTTCCAAACCCATCAAGTAATGTAGTGTGCGACATTGCAAACTCTTGTACATTGTACAATGACTGAATGAGCATGCATACAAATGTGTACCGGTTATCGAACATGAAACATGTTGCAGCGTAATGTACATGATGTACATTATGTGTAATGTACATGATGTATGTTTGCAATGCGCATGGTATGTAGATTAGTCATCAGTAGCAATTAATATACCATGTAGATAATGGATGAGCATGAAGGAGCAGATGGGGCCTGGCAGACATCCAATTCACACATTGCAAGATCGTTTTAGGGTTCTACCTCAGCGCTTGCCCCTCCTCCTTTGGGCCAGCGGAATATGTCTGTCGGACAACTAATGTACATGTACATGTACATTTACACTAGATCTATAGGCCCCACATGTACATGTACTTGTAAGAGACAATATAAAGTGCATAAATGTGAATTACAGTAGGTAACCAGTATAGTTAGAGGTAAAGACCAGTTATAGTCATGCGATTGCATTGTGAAAGAAACGTTGTGGAATTGATCAGAAAAGGTTGATCATCTAGCATCTAGCATCTGCAAGGTTCTGGAATCATCAAAATGATAAGAAATTTGGCCCATTCTTCGTAAAGTTACAAGCACTATACACAGAAAGGTGTATATGGGACTACCCTATATCTCTCACAGACCATGAGAGAAACAAATTTACCAAATATATGAATTAGTGGGCAGTTTCCCGGCAATTTTTTTTATCTTCATGTATTAGTCAAAACATATTCTTTCACATGATTGGTAATGAGAGCTTCCATTTCATTTTTTGAAATTGGGGCATTTCCAATACTGGTCTTTACCTTTAAACCACTATGAACAGGTTACCTTGACTGAGAGGTGGTACATGTACCTGTACATGTACATGTAGCTACATGTAGTCACTCCGGTCTACCAGTATTGTAATAATAATAACCAGTTAGTCTAATTCCTAGTTTGTCTAATGCCCATTTCGTCTACCACCCATGAGGCTACAACCATTTGATTCAGGAATAGACAAATTGGGTAGCAGACGACTGCTTGTAGACCAACTGACACAATAAACCCTTCTACTCTGTACTGCTTCATACACTATAGACAGGTTGCCTTGACAGAAAGGTGGTACATGTCTAATTCCCATTTCGTCTAATGCCCATTTCGTCTACCATCCATGAGGCCTAACAATCATTTGATTACGGGAATAGACAAACTGCTTGTAGACCAACTGCTTGTAGACCAAACGACACAATAAACCCTTCCCCTCCTTACTGCCTCATAAGCAATATATGGAGTGCTTTGGATAGAAATGAGCAAAAAGTGATTTTCCATGCCTTTCTCTAGCCCCCTGACATTAAAACCTGATGCTTCCTACAGATAATTCCTCTCAAATCGGCAATGCAGATGCCATAATGATGAAACGTACAGTAATAGCAGAGGCAGTTTTACACATTACGCCATACTGTCGAACCTCTATAGTATACTGTACATGCATACGCGTTTTGATAATGCTTAGTAGAAAGTTTGGGCTATCGGAAAGTCAATTAGCTCCATAATAGTTCAGTTGACCATTTAGAATTGGTATTTTTGGTCACAGAAATTTGTTTAGAAATGACTATGATTTTTTCCACCTTTAGCTGTCAGTGTCAGGTTTGAATGAAAATCATACAAAATCATATTTTACCAACAAATTCTGTAGTATTACCTTGCAGTTTAAAGTTAAGTTTATCTTGTACATGAAGCCTTATCCTAATTATTCATTCATAAAATCTTGGATACCAATATGCTACTGCTTGATTCTCTTCAATACCCCATCAAACATCTTCTCTCCCACTTCATTCTCCCTCTCTATTTCCCTCTTTATTTTCTTTTCTTTATTTTCTCTTCCTTTCTTTATTTTTTCTTCTTTTCTTTATTTTCTCTTCCTTTCTTTATTTTCTCTTCCTTTCTTTATTTTCTCTTCTTTTCTTTATTTTCTCTTCCTTTCTTTATTTTCTCTTCTTTTCTTTATTTTCTCTTCCTTTCTTTATTTTCTCTTCCTTTCTTTATTTTCTCTTCCTTTCTTTATTTTCTCTTCCTTTCTTTATTTTCTCTTCCTTTCTTTATTTTCTCTTCCTTTCTTTATTTTCTCTTCCTTTCTTTATTTTCTCTTCCTTTCTTTATTTTCTCTTCCTTTCTTTATTTTCTCTTCCTTTCTTTATTTTCTCTTCCTTTCTTTATTTTCTCTTCCTTTCTTTATTTTCTCTTCCTTTCTTTATTTTCTCTTTCTTATTTGCCCTTGCTTTTCTAATGGGGCAGATGTTTGGCAATATGAATCTACAAACTCAACAAGTTAGCATAATTGGATTGAAGTTTATAAAGTGCAGAGCGTCTTTTGTCCCATTGTGTAGTGCAAGGCATCCCCTGTCAGACAGGGTGCAGCCAATTGTACGTTTTTGTGTGGCAATTGTACGTTTTGTGTAGAAACGCAATGTTTGCTTGTTTGATCTGTATTGTATTGGAGGGCGGGTTCAGACAAGTCATCCTAACCTTGGAGGATGATGATTAGCCCAATCTTTTTTGTTTGTTTTTTTGTTTGGGGTGGGGGGGGGGGGGGTTAAGGAAGCGTTTTACTGTTCAATGAGATGCAATACTGTACATCTGTCTACATGTAGAAGAGGTGTCGTGAATGAGTGGATACGTCGCCGGACTGTCGATCACAAGGTCCGCGGTTCGAGTCCCGCCGCGGCACTAATGTCCTTTGGCAAGACATTGATCTACATTTCCCACTCTCCACCCAGGTGTTTAATGGGTACCGGTAGGAAGGAATTTCTTTAAATGCTGTGAGCGTCGAAATTGGCAGCCTAGCATAGCCGGGTAATGTTGGAGCGCCTTGAGGACCTTGCAAGGTCGATACGTGCGCTATAAGAATCCAATATTATTGATATTTTGAATATACAGTTTTTCCACTTGGAAACCCCTTTAATAAGATAAAAAACATATTTTGGTGCCTGGAAATCTTTAAGAATGCAGTCAATAGTTTGAACACTCTCTTGAATGTGCAGAACCACTTGTACTATTAGGTAAAGGATTATTATGTGTTTGGTCATCTGGATCCAAAATCAATATGTAGGAGACGGAAATGGAACCCTTCCAAGATTGAAAATGAAAACAAAAAACAAGCTTATTTTGGAAACAAAACAAAAAATACAACAAACATGTATAACAAGCTATTAACAGACAAAGATAAATTAAATTAACAAAAATATCTCTAGAATTTGGTGATGTTTAAGAAAAATATAGTTAAGCTTTCTAAACTGATTTTTTTAACAAACAGCACAAGAACAAATATGTACAGTATGTTTTTCTAGTAAAAGTCAATAAAAATAAACCTACATGTTCAAGAAGAACAAATGTTAGAGATAAATTTAAAGGAGAGGGCAATCGAGAAACAGAAAGTGCACACAAAATCTATCCAAGAGGATTGGAAAGACAAGTTGCAGGAATAAGATTTCTTTTTTTATTGATGCTCCTTGTAAACACACCCTTTCTACACTGTACAGTGTACATAACACCAGGTGTGAGTCTTGGACTGAAGTCCAGGACAATAGCCGTCATATTTTGCCCCCATATCTCTATCAATCTATGCTTGTTTATTGCCCATTAAACCAGCAATCTTCTATTTGCCATGTTCACACAGAACCTTTGTAACTTAATACTGAACTTTACGTTTGCAAGATCTCAGTTTTAAATGATTATCCACTACCTACATGTAAATGTATGAGGCTTCAAACGTGCCTGAAACAATGAGTATTCAAAGTTTCAAACTACTGTATGGCAGGGAAAAAATAATATTTATTTGGGGGGGGGGGGGGGGGGGGGCTACTTTTCAACCTTGCCTGCATGAAAATAACATTCTAAAATTTGTTTTGCATTGAACTCTATGCAAATTTAAGGTGCTTTTTTCTGATTTTGGAGGGCTCTTTTGGGCATTTTGGGGGCTATTCATTATGAATATGACTGACAAAGAAAGCGGACAAAATATACAGTTCCTCAGATAGACAAAGGAACATCCCTTCACTGCTGTGATGTAAAAATGTGTAGAACAGGTGTCACATGCATATTCACCTTTTTACATACATTGTAATAGCAGTGAAGGGATGTTCCTTTGTCTACCTGAGGAACTGTATATTTTGTCCGCTTTCTTTGTCCGTTATATTCATAGTGATTTCGCCCTGAGCCCCTGTGTATTTTTTTCACTACCCTATGGGCTTCTGGAGTGTGCTTTTTTCAACACCGGCAAATGATACTCGCTTACATGTGATCGCATGCAGAGTAACGACAAGCCAGGCATACGCACTACTAACCAACGTTTATGGGTTTTTCCAGTAGTGTACTGTAAATGGCAGTAAACAAAATTGGATGATTAAAAAAAAAATGGTGTTTAGGTTGTGTATTAATGGGCCTACTGTAAACTTTAAGTTTACAGTCTGTCAAGTGAACCTGACCATGGAAAAGCATTTTTTTTTGTATATACAGTGCATGTACACAATCCAAACTTGAAGGTCAGGAGTATGGACCTACATGTACAGTTGTGTGTCTTTAGAAACTAATGAGCCAGGCAGTTAGATTACGACCTGTCCTGTAAATAGCTGAAAGGAAATAAAAAACCACAGCTATTGTAGTTTCGTTAATACCTCCATGTAGATCATCGGTCTGTTATTTCATTGTATAAATAAGGAAGCCCAACAAAAATTTATTGCTCGATTGGTATTATTATTTTTAGGGATTATTTTGAGCGAGTGAATAGAAGAAACAAAATATTTGAGAAGAAAAAAAGTACTAGAGTGAATAAATAAATAAATCAATGTAAATATATAAAGAAAATAAACAAATGAGTAGAATGTACTTCAATAGTATGTACATGTACATGTGCATGTCTTTTATTTTTGC